TATAGTCAAACCTGCTCTGCTATCACAACGCATGCTAAACACAGGGGGAAAAACGCAATCCGTCTTAGCCGTAATCTTCCACTCGATCAATGCGTTGCCCGCTGCCAAAAGCTGTCGTCCAAACGGGATAACATCTACGTGTTTTTGCAACATGTGCACTGCGAACTCCAGAAGTGTCGTTGTCTCGGCAGCTTTTGTCGACATCGGGCAGCCTGGATGACAACTCCCAGGGAGACGTTTGATCTTGCAGCTCGCGCCAATCATTTTTAAATTCAAGGTACCGATGCGTTTCTCGTGGGGGACCCCGGATTCTTGAAACCACAGAAACAACTCCGATTCTAAACGTTTTGCTGCCAGTTCTTTAGACGCCGACCTCCAAGGATTTGCCTCGATCAACCTCCACACCGTCGCAGATGTAAATCGCATGTCCACCCCTAAATTCTTGGTGTGCATCTCATCTAACGCAAGTGACGATGCTGGCGACGTCGCCAGGCTTGCCCTGAAAAGGGGACACCGCCGATGCACCCAATCTACAATGGCACCAGTGTGATCCCTACGATGCCTCCAGAATGTTACAACAAATGGCGCTTCTTTGCTGCGAAACTCCGACAAGTCTAGCAGCGAGTCAGAATTAGTCAAAATGTCACCAGCACGCAGAAGTGTGCCAGCAATATCGATATCTTCCTTAACAACCATGCCGCCTGGATATTTGGCAGACGCTTCCTTGCTCACGAGACCCCTGAATATCTGGTCCCGCACAATGTTTGAGGTAACGTCCACTGTGATTTCATTTTGAACGCATTCGAACTCGTAATCATCGGTACTCCTGAGCACCCACCCCAAAGCCCCATTTGAAATCATACCTGGAAACGCTTCGCCAAACCCTTCTTTCGGCACTATGCACATCGGGCACGGAGCATATTGCGACGCCCACGATGCAAGTGAGAACGTCTTATTGAATTCTGCCCAGTCACCTTTCAAATACATCACGCATGCTCTGTACGGTAGATCTACCTGGTTATACAAAGGACATTCGCCTGCCGACGCCACAGACCCACCCCACACGGGACGAAAGTAATGATGATTTTGTTGGTGGTGGAGGGGGGTGGGGGGTGGCATGGGTGCGCTCGCATTGAGTGGGCGACCTCCTCTTCCGTCCATGGCTCCCCCGAATGGCGCGCAGCAGGTGAACGTCCTCGGACCATTGCCTCGAGTTGCCAAGCCAACACAGACAGCAGACTGTGAACTGTGCAGTGACCTTTGCATCCACACGCGCACATGTCATTGGTGCGCGTTGCTGAAAATAGATGGCGTTTCTTGGTAAGCATGTTCACCACTGAAATTTGCAATATGTTATCTGTTTTCCCAGCCCCCAGTGGCGTGTAGCGTACACCGTCTAAATATACCGCAAGGGGTATGGGGTACTTCCCTGTGGCATTCAAGCATTCATCCGTGTGCACGTGGCATCCATAGCACCGAGTCGACATGGGTGAGTCGTCGCTGAAATCTCCAAACTCCAACGCGCGTTGAAGAGACGGGCTTAAATCAACTTCTTCTGCGATCGAATCATACACCAGCTTGAAAGTTGTCCTCATGCACGGCTGCTGTGCGTGCCCTCTCACTCGCCCTGGGATGTCAGCAATGTACATTTTGCCTGGGCTCGGGAGTGTCTTCTTCAGCCACTTGCTGTAGTAACCGGACTCGCGACCTCGCCCCGACTAAGTCAACACCCGTGGGTTAGCCCTGGATATAGTGCGATAAGCGAAATGAATCGATGACGATTGCAGTTCTGCATATATTGCGACATCGATGCCGATACGAAGCGATACTTAACCTTTGTGGGTATTGTGCGCCCCCCCGATCTTTGGTAACCCACGAACTCCAGACTTGCGTTTTAAACTCCCCCGACCTGGCGGCTGCGCATGTAGAGCCCATTGGGCCCCCTGCATCCCAGATATCGAGCAGAAGTTACACAGCAGGCAAACATCTTTTGCTGATAGCGGGCGCCCTCCAGCATAGATTTCACATAGCAGTGCGAAACAATCTGCTCCAGCAGTTCGTTTGGCATGAGTCTCACCGCCAGGGATCCAGCGCTGATATCGCCTGTGGTAGCTGGTGGCAGCCGCCATGCCGGAAGCGAAATGTCGCACGTGTAGTGTACGGTGCCTGATACTGCATGGTCATATCCTTTATTTGGGCCAAACGCGCAGTCTGCTACAGTGGACGCACAGAAGTTCCTCGACACCCTGGGGACATGTGAGGATACATCGCGTTGTCACGTCGTTTGAAGTGGTTACAGTGTGCCTACGCTAACCCTCTTAGATATACATGCATGTGTACATACATATACACATATAAGAATGTTTAGTATACGCGTACGCATATATACCAGTATCGCTTCATCGTGAAGCATGCACACGTGTGTATGCCTAACATGTGTACTCGCCCGTGCACAGTTCACAGACATCAGGATCGGGCCTTCTGGGGCATGCATACAACTTGTGCGTTTCTAGCGAACATCCCCTTCGCTAGTGTGCATGGCGCACATCCGCCAGCCACGCGCTGCAAAGACAGCGTCCGCCCACGCGACTGAGCCACTGCGCAAGCAGAGGCTGGACACCCACAGGTCAACCACTGGTCGGGCGTGAGCGTGCCCGACTGCGTCTGCCAGTCGCACGCGGGGACTGAGCGGGCTATACTGTGGACGTACTGCTGCGCACCGTGGCGCGGCGCGTGCCACGCTTCACAAAATTGCAGCGTGCGCGGTGACAAGCAGTCGTCCGTACATGTAGCAGATAATCACGGTCCTCTGAATGTTTGGTCGTGTTGCGATGTTGTGTGTTGTCATGTGGTGTTGTGCTTAACATGCATGAGCTGAGATATCTGTGACAGTATACCTGGTTGACCTGGCGAGCAAGAAAAACATGTTCTAGCTAGATTGCTCCACCGCTGCGTGCACGCAACCCGTCACCATAAACTCGTGCGCGCAACAGAGAGCATAGAAAAAATGCCCAGCAACGCAAAGGCGGGCGCTCAACTACAACAAGAGAGCACCCTAATTGCGATGCATTATCCCTGTCTTGTTCCTTATCCCCATCCATATTGCAATCATCATTGCCCTGGACCCGATGTCTATAACATCTCATCATTATATGCATCACCAACATCATCAACACCACCATCGCCACCACCAATATCAGCATCACCATCGCTGTTCACAGTCTGGGACGTCGAGGCGTCGCCTCGCAAAGATCTGGCGATCTGGCGTCGCCTCACAAAGATCTGGCGTTCGATCCACCGTGGATTTCCCAACGTGGACAGGGCTGCGGGGAGCCACGAACATTGCCACCACGCGTTGCATAGCTGCAGCAGCTGCGCAGACGCTACAGCGCCATCAAAAAACTCGAGCGCATCAGTCGGCAGCCGAAACCACTCTGAAAAACGACCGCTCCCCTCAAAAATCAGTCCCTTGAATTTTGGATGAATTTGGACGGTTTTTGGACGGCTTTTGGATACCCCGTTTGTGTTGAAAACAATACATAACCCGCAATTTGGATGGCTTTTGGACGGCTTTTGGACGGCTTTTGGACGGCATCATTTTTCGTTGGGACCCAGGGGATTTCGGTGGAAAACTTCAGAAATTGTGAAAATCCGATTGTGTCAGCTGCTCCGCGGCAGCAATTTCTATCACAGAGTGGTCTCGCAACTATTGCCACAACAACTCAACGAACTCCAGTGCCACTCATGCTTCGAATCAAACTGAACTGTGGGAGATGGCATCTCCGTCATTTCTTGCTCATCCGCGCCCGCTGCTGCCGCCTGATGCACTGGACCTCATTGTTCAGGTTCTCCAGGGGCGCCTCGAGCTCCTGAGCGCCCGCTCGTGCAAAACGAGAAGGGCCGAACCGAACATACTACGCATACTAATGATAAAACAAACGAGGCGGACAAGGGCCAGGAAAGTGAGGGCATGTGCACGGTGAAAGCAGACATGCTGATATAGAACACATATGCGTTGCTAAAGAAGAGCAGCGGTCCAGCGCGAGCTTCTTCGCCGTGAACTCGAGGGTCGCAGGGTCCTGGGACTTCTTCACCTCGCTGTAGTCGCTGGTAAGGAGCTCCCCGTTGAGAGGATCGGAGTTGACGATCTGCTCCACCCCCCGTGCATATCATTCAGTACCACCCATCCCTAAGTCCCCGTTACACTGACACATCGCTCACCAGTAGGAGGAGACGAGGCGATATGAGTGACGCCGAAGGAGAACGCAAGCAACGGCGAGGAGAGCTAGCGAACAAGCCCAACGGGAATGCAAGGACGAGGGGATTGAGGGGTGAGCGAGGGAGTAAGTAATGGGGTGAGTGAGGGAGGGAGGGAGGGAGGGATGGAGACATGGGGAGGGAGGGAGGCAGTGAAGGAGGGATCTATACATCTCATATTCACTCTAAAATGTAGCTTAGCACACCACATCCATCTTGCATTATTCATCCGCTTACATCTCATATTCACTCTCCATCATTATCATGACCATCCTCGATGTCCGTCCGTTCTCTCCCTCACTGCGAGTCTTATCCCAGCCCGTGGGCATATCATGATCTCATCATCTACATATGTTTATGTCCCTCGCTCTCGCTCCCGTTCTATCCCCCCTCTCTCTCCCACGCTCACTCATACTCTATATTAAGTTCCTGTGTCCCCCTGTTGTTCTGTCTGTATATGCACGTCGTTTAATGAACCGCATTGTTGTGCAACTCCCAGCTCTGTCACTGGCAGGTTTGGCAAATGCCGACGTGACGGCAAACTGAACAGCCGAACACGCAACTGATGCATACAAACGCAGCGCCTATTAGAACAGATCATCTGGCAGCGTGCCCAGGCTGAAGCTGACCGCAGCAGGCGCCACCGCGGGAGGTGGCTGATGCAAGGGGGAACCGGAGCGGGTGGACTTCGCCTCCTTCGGAGGCGTCATTGGCGAACTCTGCGGGCATGGTGCACGCTTCACCTCTCTCTCGTCAGCATGCTCGGGCTCTGGTCGGATGCGCTTGACGCCCTTGACCCGCTCGACAGGCTCCTTGGTGGGCGCCTTGAGTCTAGGCGACGCATGCTTGCCCGATGGTTTCTTGAAGACGGGCTGCTCGATGTTGTTAGGCTCCTCGTCCCCGTCGCCATCCTCGTCGTCTGGCACCTCCGCGTCGTCATCTGCATGTTCAGACTCCTCATCATCGCCAGCCGCATCATCGCCACGATCATCGTGTGGGTTGGCAGCGCCATCGTCTGCGCCGCAAACATCAGCTTGGGTGGGCACCGTCTTCGTGGATGGCCTCTTGAGCACGGCCGCGGTGTTCTCCGATATCCACTTGGTCTTGCGGATCTCGAGCTCCTTCTTGTCAATCTTCTTGTCGACCCAGAGCTTGAAGAGATCGATCATCAACTTCTGCACCTCCTCCTTGGAGTGGTGCGCTTTGATGACGAACTGCGATACCATCCTGCTGTCCTCCCAGCAGCCGATGAACCAGCTGGTGCCTTGACCTCTCGAGAACATCGTCACGTAGTAGCGCGCGCCCTTCAATGTCGTCTCCCAGATCCAGTTCTTCTTCACGCCGCCCACCTTCGATGCGGCAGCCTCACGATACATCTTGTTGGTGAAACCTGGGACTGCCCATGTCGCCCCATCTGCCCACTTGGCTACAATCTCGTCGTCGGGCGGCCCGCCGTCATCATGCAGGGGGTCGGCCCACTCCGGCACGCCCTTCTTGACGCCCTTCTTGGTCCGCAAGGCAGCCTCTGGGGAGGGCGATCAACGGCGTGCGCCCACATCACATCCCTTCCCCATCGACACAGCCTAGGCCTCCAGCATCGTTCCCTCGACTCCTATCGTGCCCGAGCCTATGCGCGCGTGCACCACGCGTGCGCGCGCGCATTTGACCGATCTGGTCTCCTTGTGCTGGTAGTTGAATTCGTACGTGTACTCCGCCACGGCCTCCTCGCCCGTTGTCTCGGGCACCTCGCCGTCGGCATCATCGTCAGCTTCAGCAGCGCAGATGCCTGTGTCCAACAGCCACTTCGGCGGCTGCTTCTTCTTGCTCCTGCGCCGTGTAGGCGTACTCATACATGCCAAGCGACGAACGTCAATAGAGGATAGGTGCCTTCTCCACCCTTCCCCCATCTGGCATTCATCGTTTGTCATGTATGAGTCCTGGCTTTGAGGATCGTCTGCTGCGTGTGCCGCAGCATGGCCCGAATCATCTTGGCGGCCTCGGTAATGAAGCTCTGCTGCTGGTCGGCAAGCTTCCAGTCGTCCTCCCTGCGCTCGACGAGCAGCTGGAGCTCGCGTTTGATGACCATCATACCAACCTGCGTCAACGGTGAGATCGCATCCCTCAAGGATTTGATGAACGCACCGTAGAGCTGCAGCGAATATGTATCCTGCGGGGCGTCGATCGCTGGCTGGTAGTTCAGGAACTCGGGAGAGGCCATGTGCTCATCCAGCGCAACCGTGAGCGCAGACTGCTCACCATCAGGCGCGGCCGCAGCCGCTGGTTTCTTTTTTGGCGGCATCCAGAAAAAACAGACAAGGGTGCTCGACCAAAATCGGCTGCGCTATGCTGCTGCAACAGAAACAACACCACTCCTCGTTGTCTACATCTGTATCCTCCTCCTCCTCCTCCTTCTCCTCCTCCTGCTCCCCCTGATTCTTCCCCTTGGTCCTATGATTATTCCTCTTCCCCTTTCCCCGCCTTCTGCTCCTGAACGCATGTGGCCATTTCAAAGGGTGATCGTCTACAAGTGGGATCGGGGGGATGGCCGTTCATGCTCATCACGCCAACTATTCAGATACATCTACCACGCCGGCCTCGAGCAGCTAATGCCCAGCTCTCGCCACATCCACCTACCCCCTACATGGCCGCTCACCCTTCCTTCTACCCCTCATCCCTCATCCTTCCTTCCACCCCTCATCCCTCGCCCGCTCCCCATCGAGCTCTCGCTGAAAAACTCATCATCCTACCCCCGCAGCCCCATCCCACCATGTGCTTGAACTCTCTGAAGTCCTTGCTCACGCCGTCGTTGTTCGCCCACGTGTAGGTCTTGTCCGTCTCGATCGTCGTGAGGAGGTTCTTGGCCTGCGCGCTGACCTGCAGGTAGTTCGACTTCAGCTTCTTCAAGGACGTGAGCCACTGAGATGCGGCATTTTTTATGCACTGGATGGGTGGCAGCTCTACGTCCTCAGCCTCCTCATCCTGGACATCACCCCTGCTTTCCATCCCAATCGCACCTTCCCCTCTCTCTCCATCATCCTCCTAAGACTCTGCCCAAACGAAGTTCAACAATCAACCTCTCTCACTGCCACGCCCCGCTCGCCTACGTGCGAAATGCACACACATCGCACAACGTTGCACACACAACTCAAACCGTGAAACCGGAACTGCAACTGGAATCTGAAGACTAACGAATAAGACAAACTGCCGCCTCTGGCGTCTGCACCGCGGTCTTCTTCTTCTTCTTCTGCTGGGGCCCGTCATCGTCGCCCACGGCGTCGTCGGCGCCGCGCTTGCGCCGCCCTGTGCCCTGCTGCCCTGCTGCTGCTGCTGCTGCTGCCTTGGCTGCTGCTGTAGCTCCTGCCTTGGATGCTGACTTGGCTGCTGCTGCAGATCCCGCACTGCCTGTGGCTGCCTCACCATCTTTCGTAGATTTCATGCTGAGCGGCTTGGCATCATCAGATTCAGAACCATTCTTGCCTGCGATCGCGGGGGTGATCTCAGGAGACCGTGCGTGCTTCTTCTGCTGGGGCGTAACGAAATCCACCGATTCACCTGTGCTCCCAGCGGTGCCAATCATCGACGAAGCTGGCTGCTCACCCCCCGCCCCGCTGCTAGAACGTGTCCAAGTTTCAAACTCCTTCCGCGCTCTCTTGTACGACTCGGACAGGCTATGCTCGATATACAAAAACTTGATATCCTGCGTGAACTCCTCATAATATTCTACCCATATTCCTCCGAGCATGATGCACCTCAACGCATAGTTTGTTGCATTCCTGCGGCCGCTTGCTCCTCCCCCTTCTTTGTGTGCTATGCGGGAGAGCGTGATGTACTTGCCATGCTTCACGTCCTCCTTGCTGTGCTCATTGGAGGCAACGTACTTGTGGATGGACTCCCACTTCTTGAACTCATCCTCGCACCACCGCTGCCGAAGTACAGCCTTGTTGGTCCAGCCCTTCTGCGCTGCGTAGTCGCACTTGAGCTCCGACAGCCCCTTTCCCAAGGGCACAGACGGCAGGTCAGCGAGCTCTTGCTTTCAATTTGCCACGCAGTAGCCCCCGATATGTTTGGCATGTGTACGTGAACAGCTAGTGTAGGCTTGATTGGTTTTGGATGGATTTTGGATGGATTTTGGATGTAGTTTGGACGTGCTTTGGATGTCGGTGCGCGGCGTTGGCGCTTGGTTTTGAGTTACCGTTATGCGCGTGTGCGCGCACGTGCGTCGTGCCGCACTACGTGCACGCACGCACGATCCAACCCGATCACAACACGGGCCCATGCGATACGCATGCCATGTGGTCAAACCATGTTCCTCATGATCCAAACCTACGTGTTGTGTACCATGTCTCGTCGCATTCCGATACCACCCTCTTCCTGCCATGCAGCCTATCCGTTTGACTTGGGGTGGGGAATTGGCATCAGCCAGAGAATTCTTGTCCGCCTTGAGCGCACGGTCCCAGTTCCCTGAGATCGGGTTCCCAGCAACCTCGGGCCGATGACAGATTTCAAACGCGCTCGATCGTCTGCAACCCCTTGTCCGAACCAGGGCGACTGAATGTGATAAGGGGGGGAGATGTGTGCGTTAGCCAACAAAGCCTGCCCATAACTGGACGCGCAATCTCTTTCCCCGTACACTCATTGCATCAAAAGATGGATTGGACAGCTCTCTCGATCTATCTCTCTCTCTCTCTCGCCCTCTTCCTCTCCCTCTCTCTCCCCCCCTCTCTCTCACGTTCGTGCCCAGCTGACCTTTGCCGTTCCAAAGTTGAACCCCTTTTCCTTCAGCTCGTACCACATCTTCTCGGCGTCATCCTTGGACATGTCGCCGTCGGCGGTGGCAGGCGCCTTGTCGCCCTTGCTGTCCGCCTGCAGACTCCTCAACTTCTGGATCACCGAGCCCCCCCAGAATGCCTTGAGCCCGTCCTCGCAAGCTTCGAAGGAGTCCACGCTGCTGAGCTTCTGCGACACCTTCTGACTTGAAGCGTCGCAGGGTTTGGCTTGACAACAGAAGGGTTGGATCCGAAAAGTGTTGCTGCCCCCTATGGTTACAAGTGACGTGGGTGTTCATACAGGGTGGTAACATTTGCAAGAGGGCGTGGTGCCAGGGTTCTGGGCTTCCCCCCGTTCTGTTGTCATTCCGAACCTTGCGAAATTCCTCGTTGAGCTTCTCGGCCACGTTCTTGCGCTCGGCGGTGCTGTCGCACGCGGCGCTGTCCCCTGATGTCGGCCGCCCGATCGATGCACCAAGCTCGCGCAGCTTCTTGACGGCAGCATGCCTAGATGAGGCTTGCTCAACAGCATCGTCATCCGAACTCGGTGTGTCCAGCAGCCTGCGATTAGAAGGGTCAGCTCGCTGCATCTTGGCCTCCCTCACCCTCGCCAGCTTCTCTAGTCGATGCTGCTCTGCAAGCTTGGCGACCAGCTCTGCCTTCTGCTGCTCCCGATACATCTGCGCATCCGCCAGCGCCGCCTCTGCGTGGTCCTGGCTGTGACAAAGGATCTCCAGCGGCTGCTCCTCGAGGTCAATGATCTCCGCCTCGAGCTTGGCTCGCGTCGCAGTGACCGCCGCGGCATCAGCTGGTGCGGGTGGGGATACCGTCTTGGCTTTCAGTCGCAGCCTGGCGGTAGGGGATCCATGCTCATCGACCGGATGCACAGTCTCGGCGGCCGTGGCAACCTCCGAGCAGTGGGGCGTCTGTGCGACGTTGACCGGGTCGGCGATTGGTCCAGCATCTGCAGCGCGCTTCTGGCGGAATGCTGCTGCGCGGAGCTGGCTGATGTCAGCTGGGATCGTGGCTGGGTCGCTCACCGTCGCCGTGTCGCTCTCCACCAGCGTGGCTCCGTCGGGGATCTCCTGGCCCAGCGCGTTCTCCAAGCTGTCTAGGTCGTGTAGCTGCAACTGGCTGAAACCGAAGCTGTCGCGCTGCTCGACTGGGACGGAGGCCTCGGGCGCGGTGTCCACACTCCCGCGAGCGTCGTACCTCTGCGTGGCGATATCAGCCTGGCAAGCCTGGGCAGGCGAGAGGCAACATCGCAATCCCTTCCCTCCCCCACTTCCCGTCTCCCCTTTTCAACCTCCCCATTTCCATCCTCATCCTCATCCTAAACTTTATGTTTAATCAGCACCATGTCTAGAGCTCAGCTGCGACCAGGCGACAGCAAGGAGGGCGAAAGCGATAGGAATCGAGCACGCGAACTCTGGAGAACACGCATAGGCGGAGGACGAGGACAACGTTCAAGGTACGACGGAGTAGGAAGTATGAGGAAGACGTTTCATCGCGCATAGCTCCAGCCCCGTGCACCCTCATTGGCGTCGGCAATGGCCTCTGCAGCGGCTCATCGTCCGCGCTGACGTAGTCGTCTTCGTGCTCCGAGCCCGCCTGGCGCACTCGAGGATGTGAGGATGAGGGTTTAGGGTTTAGGGTTTTAGGTTTTAGGGTTCAGGGTTTAGGGATAAACCTTAAACCCTAAACCCTGAACCCTGAACCCTGAAACCTAAACCCTCAACCCTAAACCATAAACCTCAAACCCTAAACCCTTAGTTTTTAGGGTTTAGGGTGTAGGGTTTCCCTCGCATCCTCCTCATCCTCCTTATCCTCCTTGACTGACCGCATATTTCCTCACATCCTCCTCATCCTCCTCATCCTGGCTCAAAGGGGTCCGCCTTCTCCGTGGAGCCGTCATCCACGCTGAACTCGTTCGCCTCCATCTCCGCTGGACTCGCCTGGGAGCAGTATGTATACGGATGGATTTGGATGGATTTTGGATGGATTTTGGATGGATTCGGATGGATTTGGGATGGATTTTGGATGGATTTTGGATGGATTTTGGATTGGTTTTGGATTGGTTTTTGGATTGATTTTGGATGCGAGTGGGCTGGCGTCAGGGCTGCGTGCTCCTCATGAAAGGGGGCACTAACTGATGAGAGAATGTGACGGCGGCGAGCGGGAGCATTTAGCAGGAAGGGTGGGACAAGAGGGAGGAGTGCGCCGAGATGTCGGACGAGGCGGAGGAGTAGGAGAATGGTGGGCTATGATCAGGAGGATGCTGGGGAGTAGACTAAGGATTAAAGAGGACAACGATGAGGAGAGACGGCAGGCAGGAAACACACCAGGATTAAAGAGGACAACGAGGAGGAGAGAGCTGCATACCAACACAAAAAAAAAGAAAACGTGTCACCATCGGGTCGATGATCCTCTCGACGGGGACCTTCCTCACCCACTGGCGAATGTCGTGGAACCCCCCTGATCGCGGTGAGGGAGAGCTTCCTGGAGACATTCGAACCAGAATGCTGCTGCGAGTCGCGCAAACATCATGCTGCAATGCAGTGCAATGCTGATGCAACACGTTAGCCGATCCTCCTACATTCCCCTTCCTCCTTACATTCCCCTTCCTCCTTACATTCCCCTTCCTCCTTACATTCCCCTTCCTCCTTCCATCATTATTCTCCTTGAGGGGGGTGGGGGGAATATGTTTGTGGGGTGGCACAGGGAACTTTCGAAGTGGATGAGATGATAAACGAGCGGAGGCCAGCGAACCATATTTTGAGTAGTAGTATTGCTAGAACACACAGTGAAACACTGCACCTCACAGGAGAGACATCTACATAATCACCCAAATTGAATTCAACATGGAAACACGTAGTGAAATATACGTCGAACTATATGTTTTCGTATCTATACGATATGCTACTTCATCGTAACATTTCATAAAAGTAGATCTTATGCTGTGTTTTTACGAGTGCGATCTGCTTTTATATGTGATGAGATGGAGGCGCGATCTCTCACAGAGATCCTGGGCTCCTCTGGGTCACAGAACCGCCAGACCGGCACCCAGGCCCAGACGACGAGCGGCGCCGAGGCGGTGACGGGGCGGCGACGGCGATCACAGAACCGCCAGACCGGCACCCAGGCCCAGACGACGAGCGGCGCCGAAGCGGTGACGGGGCGGCGACGGCGATCACAGAACCGCCGGACCAGCACCCAGGCCCAGACGACGAGCGGCGCCGAGGCGGTGACGAGGCGGCGACGGCGATCACAGAACCGCCAGACCGGCACCCAGGCCCAGACGACGAGCGGCGCCGAGGCGGTGACGGGGCGGCGACGGCGATCACAGAACCGCCAGACCGGCACCCAGGCCCAGACGACGAGCGGCGCCGAGGCGGTGACGGGGCGGCGACGGCGATCACAGAACCGCCAGACCGGCACCCAGGCCCAGACGACGAGCGGCGCCGACGCGGTGACGGGGCGGCGACGGCGATCACAGAACCGCCAGACCAGCACCCAGGCCCAGACGACGAGCGGCGCCGAAGCGGTGACGGCGATCACAGAACCGCCAGACCGGCACCCAGGCCCAGACGACGAGCGGCGCCGAGGCGGAGACGACGAGCGGCGCCGAGGCGGTGACGGGGCGGCGACGGCGATCACAGAACCGCCAGACCGGCACCCAGGCCCAGACGCCGAGCGGCGCCGAGGTGGTAACGGGGCGGCGACGGCGATCACGGAACCGCCAGACCGGCACCTAGGCCCAGACGACGAGCGGCGCGGAGGCGGTGACGGGGCGGCGACGGCGATCACAGAACCGCCAGACCGGCACCCAGGCCCAGACGACGAGCGGCGCCGAGGCGGTGACGGGGCGGCGACGGCGATCACAGAACCGCCAGACCGGCACCCAGGCCCAGACGACGAGCGGCGCCGAAGCGGTGACGGGACAGCGACGGCGATCACAGAACCGCCAGACCGGCACCCAGGCCCAGACGACGAGCGGCGCCGAGGCGGTGACGGGGCGGCGACGGCAGACCGGCACCCAGGCCCAGACGACGAGCGGCGCCGAAGCGGTGACGGGGCGGCGACGGCGATCACAGAACCGCCAGACCGGCACCCAGGCCCAGACGACGAGCGGCGCCGAAGCGGTGAGGGGCGGCGACGGCGATCACAGAACCGCCAGACCGGCACCCAGGCCCAGACGACGAGCGGCGCGAGGCGGTGACGGGCGGCGACGGCGATCACAGAACCGCCAGACGCACCCAGGCCCAGACGACGAGCGGCAGGCGGTGACGGGGCGGCGACGCGATCACAGAACCGCCAGACGGCACCAGGCCAGACGACGAGCGGCGCCGAGGCGGTGACGGGGCGGCGACGGCGATCACAGAACCGCCAGACCGGCACCCAGGGCCCAGACGACGAGCGGCGCGGAAGCGGTGACGGGGCGGCGACGGCGATCACAGAACCGCCAGACCGGCACCCAGGCCCAGACGACGAGCGGCGCGCGGTGACGGGGCGGCGCGCGATCACAGAACCGCCAGAGGCACCCAGGCCCAGACGACGAGCGGCGCCGACGGGGGGCGGGGGGGCGACGGCGATCACAGAACCGCCAGACCGGCACCCAGGCCCAGACGACGAGCGGCGCCGAGGCGGTGACGGGGCGGCGACGGCGATCACAGAACCGCCAGATAAGCACCCAGGCCCAGACGACGAGCGGCAACGAGGCGGTGACCCAAGCGGCGACAGCGATCACAGAACCGCCAGACCGGCACCCAGGCCCAGACGACGAGCGGCGCCGAAGCGGTGACGGGGCGGCGACGGCGATCACAGAACCGCCAGACCGGCACCCAGGCCCAGACGACGAGCGACGCCGAAGAGGTGACGAGGCGGTGACGGCGATCACAGAATCGCCAGACCGGTACCCAGGCCCAGACGACGAGCGGCGCCGAGGCGGTGACCTAGCGGCGACGGCGATCACAGAACCGCCAGACCGGCACCCAGGCCCAGACGTCTTGCAGACGACGAGCGGCGCCGAGGCGGTGACGGGGCGGCGACGGCGATCACAGAATCGCTGGACCGGCACCCAGGCCCAGACGACGAGCGGCGACGAGGCGGTGACGGGGCGGCGACGGCGATCACAGAACCGCCGGACCAGCACCCAGGCCCAGACGACGAGCGGCGCCGAGGCGGTGACGGGGCGGCGACGGCGATCACAGAACCGCCAGACCGGGTGACGGGGCGGCGACGGCGATCACAGAACCGCCAGACCTGCACCCAGGCCCAGACGACGAGCGGCGCCGAAGCGGTGACAGGGCGGCGACGGCAATCACAGAATCGCCAGACCGGCACCCAGGCCCAGACGACGAGCGACGCCAAGGCGGTGACGGGGCGGCGACGGCGATATCGCCGTCGCCAAGGCGGTGCCGGTCTGGCGATTCTGTGATATCACAGGATCCCCAGACCGGCACCCAGGCCCAGACGACGAGCGGCAACAAAGCGGTGACGGGGCGGCGACGGCGATCACAGAACCGCCGGACCGGCACCCAGGCCCAGACGACGAGCGACGACGAAGCGGTGAAGGGGCGGCGACGGCGATCACAGAATCGCCAGACCGGCACCCAGTCCCAGACGACGAGCGGCGACGAGGCGTCGACGGGGCGGCGACGGCGATCACAGAATCGCCAGACCGGCACCCAGGCCCAGACGACGAGCGGCGACGAGGCAGCGACAACGGAGCCACCAGACTGGCACCCAGGCTCAGTTCCCTTAGACAACGAAGCAAGAACCCCTAAATGCAAGCACTTGCTGGGAATGTCGTAACCTTTCAGCTTCACGTGTTTATTGTGACATATTTCAATGATGTCATTGATTTGCTCCTCCTCTGAGGCCAGCGCCATCATAACTCCAAGTGTCCTACGAGCTCCCCAAGGAGCCTCCAAGACGCCCAAATCCTTTAACATCCGAGCGTGTCTCAGTGTTCTTGGCCTTCTCGCCGATGGGCTCCTGAGTCCTCGAGATGGCCCACGAGGTTGTCAACAGGTGCTCAAGAGGTCTCCAAAAGGCAAATGTTCGGGCCGCGACGGGGAGGCAGGGAGGGCGTAATTTACGCCAACTCCCGTGGTAGTTGGTGGCCTTCAAGACAAACCCTAAGAGGATCCCCGATACCTCCAAGAGGGCTCCAAGAGACCCCCACCCCCTCCACCCCTCCCCTTCCCCCCCCTCCAGACCCCTCCAAAGTTCCCGAAGAGCTCCAGACAAGCTCCTGGAGATCCTTCTTCTCTCTCCGAAGGTAACCGCTGCCCTCTTTTTGTTCCACTGCATGCTGCTACACATTCCTGATCAGGGCAACTCCCCCAGCGACTGCTTTGGATGGGGTAGTGGGGATACTTTGAAGGCGAATGCAGCGTCAGAGGTCAACCCGGGCTACGAGCGAAGCCTAATTGCCCAGCGGACGCCCACGGCTGCCGAGGCTGCCGCCGAGGGAAGCTGGGGGGGCGCCGGGGGCTGCAGGCAGACTGCGAAGGCTGACAAGTAGTGAGGATACACACGAAGCGTCAAGAATTTGCCTTCAGTGAGCTCATTGCCGCCATCCCGTTGCAAGCCCTTGCACCGAAAAACTGACGCTACTATCCCTCCAATCAGTAGAGGCCTCCCAGATGGGGTCGGAGGATCGCGCCCTTTCGCCGATGCGTCGGCGACGTCGGCAATGCATCGGCGACGCCGGCGTAGAGAAAGTCGGGATCCACAGCGAGCCGCATCGCCGATGCATCGGCGCTGATCTCTGTTGGATCTGAGCTCGCTGCCGCCATCGCGAGCGCGAGGCAACGGTGTGGAGTGCGTGCGCGCCGCCAGAGCGGGCGGACTCCGCGCGCGCCTGGGCGAGCGCATCGTTGCCGCGGAACATGAAGAACGAGGGCCCGGTCTCGATGTAGAGCACGCAGAAAGTGGCCTCCCGGCGCCTCACAGCAATTCCGGGTGTTACTAGACCCTGAGATCAGGGCGCTGCAACTTTTTACACCAGGCAGTGTCGCCTGTGTTCGGGCCACGGGACCCTCGCAAATCGAAAACGCCGCAGAAAGATGGGGCATAGGGCTCCAGTCGTCATTTTTCGCGATGTAGATCACGCAGAAGGGGGCCTGCCTGTCAACTGTTCGTTATGGTCGTCGCTCTTCAAATCGGCTCGCTCGTATCGGTTCAGATCCCAGTAGCACTCACTGCCAGCTCGTCCACGCACTCGTGCCCACTATCGCTCTGAAGGCGAGGCGGAGTGAAGCGCACCTGTTGGTACAGTCTGTGAATCAAGCTCACTCCCCAGGAATGTAGGAGGCCCGAGAGGGATTCCCCCAGAAGCCTCGAGGGCCCTGCGGTCTCATTCCTCGCTCTCCCTGGTTGCTTATATGTATCCCTGCCGCCGCTGTTTATTCTCGAATAGGGCCATTGGCCTAGTGCTACGCCTGTTCGGCGCTCGAACAAGAACGATCAGCGATCATTCCCCCCGATTTCCATATCACAGTGGTAGCTTGGAGCGGGTCTCAACTGCCCGGCGCTGCGCGCCATCCATATACAGCCACGACGAAGCCGTCGCGAGCCACGGAATCGACGCCCAGCGGCGTCCGAGCCCTCATTGGCCTGAGCCTCGCGCTCAACCTCGCCAGCGTCAGCGACGCTAGCACCTACCTGTACGAGTACTCGACCGACGTCGGCGACGTCAATTACGGCATCTACAAGCTCAACTCCGCCAGCGTCAGCGACGCCAGCTTTTACCTGTACGAGAACGAAGACGTATGCAGCGTCAGCGACGCTGTCCACATCTCAGAGAAAGTCTGCGACGTCAATTTCACCCTCTGCGAGCTCATTGATAGCGTCAACGACGCCGTCTACATCTCAGAGAACGTTTGCGAGCTCATTGATAGCGTCAGCGACGCTATCAACATCACAGAGAAAGTCTGCGAGTTCAATTTCAGCACATACGAGTTCATTGATAGCGTCAGCGACGCCGTCTACAATTTAGAGAACGTCTGCGAGTTCAATTTCGAGGGCGGGGGATTCTGGGGTGGCGGTCTGGGGAGCCACATGTTTTCAATTTCGGCCTCCCGCTGTAGCGCCGCGCACATTCTCTCCAGAATCTGATTCTCGCCTTAGCGCCGCGCACGTTTTTCTTGTTGGGTGGGGGGAAGCCCGCTGGTGGGTCAGTCACCCCAGGGGAACTCCATTGGTGAGCCAGCCACCCAGGAGTGGTCCACTGACGGTGTCCGTCCACCTCAAGGGTTGCCCACTGTTGGTCCCTCCACTGTCTGGTTGGCCCATTGCCGTCCACTCCAAGGACGCCCAATTGTAGACCCCCCACTCAGGGCTTGCGTGCGTGCGTGAGTGTGTGGTGGTGGTGGTGGTGGTGGTGGTGGTGGTGGTGGTGGTGGTGGTGGTGGTGGTGATGGTGGTTTTGGTGGTGGTGGCGGTGGTGGTGGTGTGGTGTTGGTGTGTGTGTGTGTGCGTGTGTGTGTGTGTGCGTTTGTGTGTGAGAAAGTGTGCGTGTGTGTGTTTGTACGTGAACCAGGCCCCCACGACAATTCCATTAGTGGGCCAGCCACCCAGGTGGTGATCCACAAGCGGCCCGTGCCTGGCATTGCTTGGTATTGGTTGGTCGTGCTTGGTATTGCTTTGCCGTGCGTGGCATTGATCGGGCGTGCTCGTCGGGGACTGGCATTGATATCTCGTTCTTGACATCGGTCGTGATTGACGTTGGTCGGTCTTGCTCGGCATTGAGTGATCATGCGTTCTATTGCGTGGGATTGGTTGATGGCGCATAACATTGTTTGGCGACACGTAGTCGTGCTTGGCAACGTTTGGCGTTGCTTGGTCGTGCACGGCACTGCTTGGCGCTGATGGCTCATACTTTGTATTGGTTGGCAGCGATTGGTTGTGCCTGCATTGATGCTTGGCATTGCTTGAAATTGTTTGGCGTTGCTTGCCGTTGAAACACCCCCAGGGCTGATGACTGCGACCCCATGGGCCTTTGAAGGAGCCCTTACCTTCCATTCGACCTTCGGGTCGTGTTCAGGGTACTGCAATGGGGACCTCCGAGAATAGTCCATATGTGCGTATGTGCGAACATGCATGGCCGTGTGTAGATATTTACATACGTAGGCTTCAGACTTGCCATTGATTGACGGTGAATGGTCGTGCTTCGCATCGGTGGGCATTGCTTGGTCATGCCTGACACTGCTTAGCGTTGATGGCTAATGGTTTCTAGTGACAGGCAAGTGCTAGTCGTGCTTGCATTGATTGGCATTGGTTGGCCATGCTTAGCATTGGTTGGCCGTGCTTGCACGCCTCAGAGCTGATGGCGTGCTTCCCTTCGGCCATCGGGTAGTGCTCAGGGCGCTGCGAAGGGGACAGCCGAACGCACACACACACACACACCGATATAAATCTATACGCATACATATATATATATATATATACATATATATATACATCAAGCTGCCTGCGGCAAACCCCGCCAACGTGCCTGTGCAGCAGCGAAGCAGGGAGGAGACCGAGTGTTTTGCGATGGCACTGGTAGACGTGCCACACCAAGGGGGGGGGCCACTAATTAAATCTCCAGACCAGAGAATTCTCCACACCAGAAAGTCCACTGGCGGGCCCTCCACTCCAGAGGCGGTCCAGTTCGGACCATCCTCTCCTGCGACTCCTTTCGCCCCCCCATGGCCAGGGGAGGTGCGCTGGTATACCCAACCACTCCAAGGAATGTCTGTCTGTGGGCAAGCCACCCCAGGGAATTCCATTGGTGGGGCAGTCACCCAAGTGGTGATCCACTGGTGGCCCGTGCTTGGCATCGCTGTATATTGGTTGGTCGTGCTTGCCATTGCTTGCCCCGAAAGGCCCTGAAGGATTATCCGAGAGGCCTTGGGGGTGGGGCACTTAGTGCCAAGCACGATCAACCAAAGCAAAGCAGCGCCGGGCTCGACCGGCCAATGCCAGGCACGGCCGAGCAATGCCATGCGCGAGCACCCAATGCCAGGCTATGCCAAGTACGACCGCACGAAGCTAACCGATACCAATCATGAGCAAGCAATGCCAAGCAATGCCAAGCAGGACCGCACATCGCCAAGCGATGCCAAGCCGAAATACACGCAACGCCGATCAACGCCAAACACAACCAATAAAAATGGCAGTCAACGCCAGGCGATGCCCAGCATTGCAAACAATGCCAAGCAATGCCAAGGACGACCACTCATTGCCAAGCAATTCCAAGCATGATCAATCAATTCCAAGGAACGCCAAGCACGACCACACATTGCCAAGCAGTGCCGAGCAGGAACAGGCAATGCCAAGCAATGCAAAGCACGAACACCAAATGCTGAGCACGGCCAACCAATGTCGAGCACGACCGAAAAATGCCAAGCAGGGGCACTCAGTTCAATTCCAAGCAGCGCCACCGACGGCCTACCAATGCCAAGCATCGCCATGCAATGCCAAGCGCGACAACGAGTGCCAGACAATGGCATGCACGACCACCCAATGCCAATCAGCCCCAGGCATGTTCAACCAACGTCAAGCAGTGCCAAGCGATACCACTCAATGCCGAGCGCGACCAAGTAGTGCAAGGCGCGACCACGCAATGCCCAGGAATGCCAGTGGCCATCCGACCGCCAATGTCAAGCAACTCCAAGCACGGCCACCAAATTAAGCACGACCGAGCTATGCCAAGCAGGACCAACCAATGCCAAGCCACGCTATCACGACCACCTGATGTCGAGCAATGCTAAGCATGATCAACAACAACGCATCGCCCATGCCAAGACAACATATTCCTCAGCTCTGGAGCGCACCCCAAAAGGCTCACGGTATCCAATGAGATTCTCCCACAGGCTTGCCCAGCAGACCCCGAAGCATTCCACCAATGGCTGCGAGGCCTCGATTCAGGCTGTGATACCTCTCCCGCAAGGCCCCTTAGCAACGCTTGGCATCGGTAGCTCTCGATGTCATTGTTTTATTCACATGAGGCACATGAGGCCCAGGGCCCTGAGTTTGATTGAAACAGTCAATACCCCTCAACGTGATTGAGGGCCGAACATTAAAACAATCACATTGAATCGCACTGACTGTTTCAATCACACCCAGGGCCAGGACCCTGGGGCCTTTTTTGGGGATGGGGGGCACAAGAAAGATGAGACACACCACAAAAACTGTCAGGTTGGGTGGTCTGTCGTTTTTTTGAAGGGGGGTCCCCCCCCTTCTCCCAGGCCTCGGGGCCATGGCCCTGAATGAATGTGATGGAACAACTAGCGCCACCCAATGTGATTGTTCGTAATCACACACGGCCAAAGGCGCTGAAAGTGATTAAAACAATCAGTGCCCCCAGTGTGAATGTTTACTTTTTTATATATATATATATATATATTATATATATATATATATATGCATAGACGAAATCAAGCACATTAGGCCCAGGGCCCTGAATGCGATTGAAACAATCAGCACCCCTCAGTGTGATTGAGGGCCATAGATTAAAACAGTCGTGGCTTGGGGCGCCGAGAAGAGGGCAAGGGCTCGGGCGGAGGTGGCAAAAGAGGAGGAGAGGCAGCGCGCGGCGGGGGGGGCGATGGCGGGGGGGCGTCAGACGGACGGGGGGCATCTGGGGAGCGCCTGAGGGGGGAGGGGGGGGGGCAAACAAAATAACTAGCCTTGATGGCCATGTAGATCCCCCCCCCCCCCCCGCCCCCCCCCCCCCCCCCCCAGGCAGCGCCGTGGGCGATTGGAGGTGGGCGTTCTGGCCTCTCGTCCTTTCCTCCCTCTCCCACCCCCCCTCCCCCCCCGCGTGCCGCGCCGCCCCTCTCTCTCTCTCTCTCTCTCTCTCTCTCTCTATCTATACCGCCCTCCTTCTCACCCCCACCCGCGTTGCAACGCGCACCTCGGAATTAAATCGCGCCGCGCGGCGGCCCCCCG